TTGCGTAATCCCCGGTCGGGAGTAGGAGCTCATCTTCTGACGGTGGACGCTCTGGTGCGGCCGGGTTCGGGAGTTGTAGCTCCGGGTTAGTTAGCATTAAGCTACCGGTACGTGTTATCTTAAGTATGTCAGTGGAGTAATTGTAGCTTAAGTGTCGATTATCTGAGATTATTGGGGACAGAGATTTACATGCTTCTACGGAAATTAAGACTGATTATTGTGTCTTGATTAGTGCTACAACAAAAGGGCTAGGAGTTGTAGAACTTGGTTTGAGAGGCTGGTGAGACTGTGACTCGGTGGTACATGTACCGGTAGATTGCTTGTCGTGGGTTGGAAACCATTCGGTGGGGTTTTACGACTGAGGTGATCATTGCCGTAATCATTGAACTAGCTTGCCTGACGAGTTTACTCTTTGCCATGTTCTGAGCACTTGCGAGGGTTAGGGCCTACCTGTTTTGTGTGAGGTTTATTTGCACGTAAGGCTTATATTGTATAACTCAGGTTGAGGGTTACCTATCCTTGTGAGAGGGTCATTGGGACTGCTCGGATTGTGTGAGGGTTATTTGGATTACATACATGTAGTACAGCCTGCTTTGACGCTGAATTGGGTTGAGGGTTACCTTTCCTCTATGAGAGTTATTGGGACAGCTCAATCTGTGAGAGGGTTTTAAAGCTATTTTGACCGTTGACCCTATAACTGTAGGTCAAACAAAGAGGTCACAATTGACATTTTGTAATGTTTGCCCAAGGCCAACATGTTTGACATGTAGCAATACTTTTGAAATTTGACCTATTTTGACCTTTAACCCATAACTGTAAGTTAGACGAAGAGGTCACCATGTACATTTTGAATGTTTGACCAAGGCCAACATATTGACAGCGCTGTTTTTGGTCATGTGATGGGGCTGGGCTACTGATACATTTGACAACGTTTGGGTGAAATCAGATTAACTAACTGACTGGCTCCCCGACTGACTGACTCCCCGAATCCCCTAACGGAGCGACATGACGATTTGTTGAGCTACTATTCACAGCTAAAAACTACATGTAGAGATTGAGGTTGTAACTGAACAACTGTAACCAGGTCGGTTTCAGTACTTACTTTTACCCGACAGGTTCCTTACTCAAACATTCATTTCATAACTTTGTAACTTCGTGTTTGTGTCATTTCACATGTCAGCAGCCATTGCGATCATGCTTTTTGCCAGCGCCCTCTTGAAGCCAACTTAACTTTTTTTAGCACAGCGCGCGCCACCAAGAATTTTGCCCGCTACTTTTTAAAGCATGCAAAGGGCGTAGCGAGCAGGCGAGTTTTACATTCTACGCGCTTTGTTTAAGTTAGATAGCTGGCATTCCGGGCGTTTTGTATAGTTTTCTTGTAGGGCTAGCAGCGAAATAAACTTTGATTACGATCCAACACCTCGTTGCAGCAGACCATAATTTTCTGCGAGCACTGTACACTCCACTTTTTCTGCAAATTTGGGTGCGGCTCCCATTGTAGCAGCAATAAAATTTTATATCCAGCGTTGCCGGCATTGCAGTTTGCAATATTTTTGCTGCTTCTGCATTAATTTTAACATTGAGCACGGAGACTAGGAAGGCATGAACGTAGATCATCCCAAGTGGTGAGTAAATCCCTTGTGTGTTATTTAACTTTTTATGCCAAATTTTTTTATGCCTGAATCTTTTTATGCCAGTCATTTTTATGCAACATTCTGGACTTTTGTATATTTCTTTATATTGCCAGAAGTTAAGGCCGTCGAAACAACACAGCCAGAAATAAACATTTGTGATCACGACTTTAACAAAATAATAACTTTCGAATTAAATCTGTTTGTCGTGACATTACATTGTTACATGTATGTGAATCAGCAATTCCCATATGATTCACTATCAAATTCCTGCATAAGTGGCAGGGCAAGAAGGATTTTCAGTTGACTGTATTTTATGCTTAGAACATTTATTTAAACACATTATTGCCTTCTATTTTAATATTTTTTTGCGCAATTCCGAAAAACAATGTTAACAAGTACTTTAATTTTATGAATCTCCATTTTTCCTTTTGAAACAAAAACAAATTTGTAACTTTTGCGCAACACGAGCAAGCAAACGTTGACTGAAATCTTAGCATTGCTATAATATTCACTTTCACATTTATTATTTGAAATAGACTTTCCCATTCTCCCAAAAATATCTGTTTTCTTTAAAGTCCAATGGGTATTCAGAAATTTGTTATTAGGGCATGGTATATATTCTTACTTCATTATTTTATACATGTAACATTATTTGGTGAAGAATTCATTTCTATTTTCGGAATTAAAATTGCACTATTGTATATACAATATTCTTATTCTTATAGTTGCCATTGCGAATAATTCTTCTATTTGAGCAAAATGGTAAAAACTTCCACTTACTGATGTATTTATAAAAAGTATTCTTTGATTTAAAAATAAGGAAAACAGTGTTTCCCCAAATTACTTTGAATTTAATGTCTTTAATAATGTACTTTGACCTGAAAGCTTTCCCATAATTCATTAGTCATTTATTGTTTGTAGTTTCAGATCATTGGATAGATCTAGACAGCTTCAATTCCCTTTTGACTGTCGTTCTATATACCCAAGTTCTTTATACCATAATTCTTTTGTAAATACCTGATAATTTGTATTGTCTCATATTGTGCTGTAAATAAAATATTTTGATATTATTGAGACATCCAGAAAACTTCGCTCCACCCAAATTATTTTAAATTAGTGGAACTACTCGGTTGAGAGGAGAGCCAACCATACTACCGTACACTTATTTATTTAGCTCTCCCCAGTTACACAACTACAAAGCTGTTCCCAGAATGTTTTGGTAGGCTACAATTAAGGATTAAATGATTTATCAAATAACTGTCACTTTTAAAATTTATATTAAATCTTTATTCATAAATACCAAAGACAGTTTACCCATTCCCATTGGTCAAAAGCCTGTCACGTGGCTGGTCTTAAATGGATGATAAAGACATAACTGACTGGTCTTAAACACTTTTCCAGTGTCACATGAAATTTGAACTCCTATGAAATCTAGTGCCTTTTACCATTTTCTTGGTTGAATGTTCACAATCCTCACATAAGCATGCGCAATACTACCAGTAAATCAGTATTTTATAGTCCTAAATTCACAACGCAATGCCCAGGTGCATTCTGCGCAACATCGCGCAGTACGCCGACGCATGCGCCAATCTTAATAAAAGGAGTTGTTTACATCTTAGTCGCGAGCTGGACACTCCAGTATTTAGCAAGAGGGGTGTTTCACAAAATATGAAGTGAACTTGTTGAACAAAAACGGTTTTACACCGAAAAGTTTTGAATTTTTTTTTACTGAAAAGGCAGGCCTATTTATGAATGGGAATAAATACATACATGTGTATACTCAGTGTGTTACCTCCCGAGTGAAAGTCACTCGGGTGGAACTCGAACCCACGACCTCCTGCTTTCTAGTGCAGATGTCTTACCACTCGACCACCGAGCTAACGGGATCGGTTGGCCGGTTCGAATCTGATGTACATAGCAGCGGGTACCGCATAAACTATTATAAGATGGAATTTTTGCGCCGGGGTGATATTATTCAAATTAGGTTTTGCCCTTCACAGACGTATTTTAAACACTGTATACTCAGTGTGTTACCTCCCGAGTGACAGTTGGAAAAAATCACTCGGGTGGGGCTCGAACCCACAACCTCCTGCTTTCTAGTGCAGATGTCTTACCACTCGACCGCCGAGCTAACGGGATCGGTTGGCCAGTTCGAATCTGATGTACATTAAAACCTCCAACACATATTTATTCCCTTGATATAAGTTTTAACAAACATCCAAAAGCTAGAGAAAAACACAAAATACTATGGGCTATGTACACAAGTAGCCCCCTACGTTACGAAAGCAAGTTGGGGGAGATCACTGGGAGAGATTTTCCAACACCTTGGTGACAACGCCTGACGCTCATGCTAAGAAGCTACAAGTACATGTACCGGTATGGTTTTGTGAACATTCAGAAAAGAATTAGTTGTGTACTTTGCACTAAATGCATCATTATTGATTATGAGACTTGATATTTAATTAACTCCTGGAGTGCAAAAAAACGTATATAAAGTTACATAAATACATCGTTAAAATGACAAGCAGCCTCTTTTTGTCTCAAAATCCATTTGAATTACTTGTTCTCTTCCATTAACAAAACCTCAAGCTGTACAACATTCATGTACACGTATGCCCTTCATGTTCTTTTAAAAGAAGGGCAACAAATCAAGAAAATTCAAAATTACAAAATGGTGCCACTTAAAAAAGTCTTGTAAGACATAATAAACTGCAGTAATGGCATTACACTGCGTTTAATGAAAACAATACTCACTTATTGAATTGAGGTAGGCCAGTGCATCTTGTGTGGCTGGTGGAGGTATACATGTAGCATTTGGAATAACTTCAACTCCACTGTGAAAAATACATATACACATTCAAATTATACACAGTTATATACCATAATATATCTTTGTTGTAGTACGCATATTTGCACTCCCGACAGTTTACTTGTACTTATACTCAAGGAAATGTACGACTACAGCACCAGCACTGCAATGTAAACAATATACATGGGCAGTTCCTGCCGACGTGGACATCGGCATAAAAATATCATATGAATTATTTACATATTTGCAAAAGAGATACCTAAAGTTCACTTTGATATTATCTTGATTTTTTCCTTTCAGTTAATTTGTTTGGGATTTTGGATTTTGAATAAGTACTTACCGGTAGGTATAATAAAACGTTTGAATAATGAACAAGGTGGATCTTATACCACGTGTCTTGCCTGCTTTCGAGATTATCTTTAAAGCGCAACCAAGTTTTCAAATGAGACCAATCTTACATTTTACATCAGGAGTAATTATAACTAGATGTTTGTGTACAAACCGACGGCTGTATCGGTAATTTGTTATTGTATTTTCATGTCATGTAGGACTGATAGGACATGTGCGGAAGAGTGATCAAGACCAATACAGTTAAAAGTGCATATTTTGAAGGCCAATACCTGTATTGGCCTTCAAAATATGCACTTTTAAGATGCAGTCACATGTCACATGATGACGTCATCGTGACTTAACTTAAATTTTCATCTTTAACACATCCCGGGTAGGTACATTTGTACATACCAACTTTCAACCCAATTCCGAAGCCCTCCGCGAAACGGAAAACGGACGGAATTTCACGGAAAATAAGGTAAAGGACAACACGGAATTCACAAAATTCTATATTAAACTGCCAAAAAAGATACATGAAAACTTGAAAAGGAACCTAACACATGTTAACAGTTTTTGTAGTGTCAGTCTTCAATTCTTTCTTACCAAATGAACATCGCAGCGGTACTCAAGTGATCACATGTCCAAATGCACGCACGTTATGTACAACGTGATGCGACATCAGCATCACTGGTACCACGGCAGTACTACAGGGATTTGTATTTCATTAAGAACCAGTGAGTTTGTGTCAAAATGCAAATTGCTAGTCTTGGTTCTACGACGCCTTTCGCAGTGCCCGTCTGTGCAGTGCGCACACGCACGGTATCATGCGATTCAACATGCGGAATGACCGCAAAAGAACATCTTGAAACCAGTACTGTCACGTAGCCCGCATTATACAACAAATCCTAAACGGCCCACTAGGCTCTCACCCATGCACAGTGGTCCCTTAAGTGTTAACAAAAATATATACCGTCGATAATCTTAAAAAGAATGGGAAATGCAGGTCATTTATACCATGTGCACAATGCTAGTTACGACGAGAAACTGGCTAACAATGTCTGAATTTCGCTTGGTACGAACGTGCGATGATGCACTGTGTGTTGTGGACCGGCAGTGGGCCGGCATTGAGCTTCGTTTAACGGTATGTGATTTCGTTGAAACTCCTGCATCGTTTCACTTCATATACCAGTAGTATTTCCTCGAAATAAATTCATGAACCTGGGAAATACATACACAGACAAGAGAGATCAAGTTCTGTGAGTATAAGCTTGCAAAGATCGTCTTTCTCCATCGATGTTTTCTTGGCATTTAACGATGTCTATTCCGCGCCGTCCGGCCTGCATGCAACCGTACTGCAGTGTGAATATGCACCGCGCATGACTATTGCATTGACTGGTTACCGCATTTCCATCTTGCCAGTGCGTGGCGCAGTGGGAACCAGTCACTGCTGCAATAGCACGTACAGGCCCACGTGTTTTCATACATCAAGCAGCTCTGTATGTACACGTACATGTACGTGCAACTGGCATGACTGGCGCGTTGGCCCGAGGCAGCTTTGTTGCGTTTTGGCACGGCACAGACAGTTTTTTGGCCGGTAATTTTAATCAATCAAGTAATAATATGAACTCAAAGCACACTATTAACCAGACCTCAACTGCTAGTATATTTGGGGGTCATTTTAGTGCAAGAAAAAAACACTAGACAGCCAGACTAGTGCAGTCACACACAGCACTAGACCGACACCGAAATCACTAGACACGGTCCACGGTCCAGTGGATATTTCGAGCCCTGGTATATGTCCTGGTCAATAGTAGAGCTCCTCGGGCCCATTATTTTTGCCCAAACCGTGCCCAAATTTGTAATAAGAGCATGAAATACGGCGTGCAGATCCAAAACGGTCTGAGAAACATTTTAAGAGGTGGACCCACCTTGAAGCCTTCCAATTTGGGGGCGGAGCTTGATTTTTTTTCAAAAGGGGGTGAAAGGAATAAAAACTCAGAGGAAGTATATTATTAAACATCAACCTCGTGCCCCGTGGGTACAATCTTGCAGCGCCATGTTGTTTCCCATCATGCCTTGCACGATTGTAACCCCTGGAATTGTGTAATTTAAATGTACCAAAATACAGTACATTATAATTAGGGCTGCAGTTTATCCGTTTTATGTGCCGACGCCATCTTTAAAATGTTAAAAGTTGTGATTTTGAAGAATCAATCCTTTCAAACACAACAACTGGATGTTGTGTTATTTAGCAAAGATTTGTATTAAATGTACGTACCCCTTTCGTGCCTTTACAACCACAGATACAGGTTTTTTTTTTAGCAAAAACAAGGCTGACATAATCCATATCGTACAGGCATCACGACTTTTGAATCCTATTTTTTTTCGTACGTGACGTTACGTGCAAAGCTAAGCACGCGAGCACGAACGCATCATGGGCGCGCCCGGCGGGCAATCTTCGAAATGCCCGCGCAGTACGCTGTGAATAGCTATTCAGCGTCATTTACGTCATCATCACAGCCAGGGGTTAGTGTAAGGAACGAACACGCGCCCCTGTAGTCGAGGCTGATTAAACATTCATTTTCCTTCTTTTTCCATGCCTTGAAATAAATTTGGACATGATATAAAACATTCTAGCATTTTAAAAGTCATATTTTTCGCCCAATTTGTGGGGGTGGCCTAAATGTGTAAAGGGGTGATGTATACGAGTGGTTTGATCCGATTGTGACAAATATTGTGCATTTTCGTGGCATTAAAATTGGCAGGCCTGTTTGAACTTAAAATGGGTTTAACATATGTTTACGAGAGGGATCCACTTTGGAATTTGCCCACTGTGGGGATGAGCTTTATTTGAAAAGGGGTGCACAAAATCTAGAAAACTGTATTATGTGCTTTAATCAGTGCCCTTTGGGTCTACATGCTTTCAAATAGGCGTAGCATATGAAATATAAACATGTTAACGCTAAATACTTGTTACTGTCACTCATTTGGTGGACGTGGCTTAAATTCTAGGCAATTTATGGAAGCACCTTGATTCAAACGATGCCAAAATCGTCATTTTGGTGGTAAAAACACAAATTCTGTGTTTGTAAACTATAGTTTTACAATAAAATGTAAAGACAATATTAAAACTAAAAGTAACAGGCGTTCACCCCTCCTCCCCCCCCCCCCCCCCCCCCCCTTTTTAAGCAACATGTCAAGGTAGGGGGATTAATATTCGATACATTTTTGTACTGGTTCAAAGTGCTTTAATAGTGATCCATCATTCAAATATTTCATATTAAAGGCCTCAAGCTAATATAACCTACATGTATGTGTACATCTTAATCAACTGTCAAGAGTCAAAGAGCATCCTTAAATGCATGTAGGAACTTTTGCATTTAGTAAAAAGAGTACATATCGATTAACGATAAATTCTTTGCCTAAATTAAGTTTGGGAAAGTGTATGAAAGTGTTTCGCCTGAACTTGTATAATTTAGAAGTGAAAAAAACGTTGAAGGTGGTTTTAGAAAATTTCCCACGTGCTGTATTTATATCAAGCTATCCAGCAAATGTTGGCGGTATCCCAATCTGTCAATGTCTTTTTTCAATGAGAAGGCGCTTGTTAGAAACCATAAACAATGCAATATAGCAGGGATTACACCCAAAGTCGTTACAAATTATCAAATAAACCACAACAGGAAACTGACTGCATTTATGTAGACTCTTGACAGGTGATATAATGTAAATCTACTGCTACAGGATACTAGAACTAGTAGAAGCTCTAAATCAGAAATATTTAATTGAAGTAGATTAAATTACTTTGAGTCAGTATGCATACTATTCTTCCCCTACCATGTAGGGCTACTTTAAAATGTAGCACCACAAAAGGGGCAAAATGCTATACATTTGACATGGTCTTTACAGTGTATTGTAAAAGACTAGTGCAGGGACAGTCGAAAATGTGCGTGTTCGGAAGGGGCAGTTGAGAACTGCAGCTCGTTCAAACAACGCACATTATTCAATGGTGTGAACGCACACTCGCAAGTTAAACGCACAAAATGTCGTCACCCCCCTGGCACTGATATTTACCCCTACTGGACAATATGGTATCGCCCTACAACTGTAGGGCGTAGTTGTAGGGCGATACCATATTGTATAAGAGTTGCTCAGTCGACCGCCTACATACAGTGCAGTGATGGTTGCTCAGTTGACTAAAAAATGCATGTGCCCGTGCATGCCACTCACGTATATGTACGTACGAAGACATGGTGTGCAGTGCTATCGCCCTACAATGTGCCCGTCCTTTTTGCACTGTTTGCGTCACATTGAGCACGCGCGCTTTAGCTCGAACATGACGTAAACAATTGAAAAGAACCCCATGATGTGCCCGTCCTTTTTGCATTGTTGCGTCATATTGAGCACGCGCGCTCTTGCTTTAACATGACGTAAACAATTGAAAAGAACATCAGTGCGCGGAGTTCTAGGCTATATTCTGGCGCGCTAGGTCTCAGAAAATACTGCTTTTTTGCAGCTTTTCGTGCAAACAACGCACACGATTATGAGGAAGAAAAGTGTACCATTGTTTATTTACCCTCTATTGTACATGTCGTCATCCCCTGGCACTGATATTTACCCATACTGGACTATGGTATCGTCCTACAGTAAAGCTTGCTCAGTCAGTCGCCTACAGTAATTGTTGCTCAGTCGACGACA